CACCTAACCCTAACAGCCACAAACGAGGCAACTCAAGCATTCAAGGCAGAAATTGAAAAGACACTACATTAAAAGCACAAAGAGAAGGAAACTAAAGATTACATTACAGAAGCATCCCAAGCAATCAGCTCAGGATCCTGTATCCCCTATCATCTCAGTGAGAGATGACAGCGAACGAAGCCCGATTTCATATCATAAGAAATTAAAGCGATCAGCAGCAAGGGGCTTAGTAAACAAATCAGCCAACTGGAATTCCGTAGGAATGTGATGCAGGGAAATAAGACCTTCCTTAACAAGTTCACGAATAAAATGATATTTAATATCAATATGTTTCGTTCGTGAATGCTGAACCGGATTCTTAGTCATGCAAATAGCACTAGTATTATCACAGTACAAAGGGATAGAGGAAACTTGCAACCCATAATCTTTCATTTGACTTTTAAGCCAAAGGAGCTGAGCACAAGAGCTGCCAGCGGCAATATATTCGGCCTCTGCCGTGGATAGAGCCACAACTCCTTGCTTTTTACAAAACCAGGACACCAACGAAGTACCAGCAAATTGACAGCAGCCAGAAGTACTTTTTCGATCAGTGAGACTCCCAGCAAAATCGGAGTCAGTATAACCAAGAAGATCAAACTGATCCTGCTTAGCATACCAAATACCGACATCACTTGTGCCTTTTAGGTATCGAAAAATACGTTTTACTGCTGTTAAATGACTCTGTTTTGGTTGAGACTGAAAGCGAGCACAAAGACACACAACATATTGAATATCAGGTCTGCTAGCCATTAAATAGAGCAAAGAACCTATCATGCCACGATATTTAGACTCATCAACCAATTCACCAGTTTCGTCAAAATCAAGTTTGACATTAGTTGCCATAGGAGTTGGGCAAGCATTCAAGGTAGTCATGTCAAACTTTTGAAGCATAGTAGACACATATTTTGATTGACTAATGAAGGTACCATGAGAAGTTTGTTTAATTTGTAAGCCAAGAAAGTATTTTAATTCTCCCATGAGGCTCATTTCGAAAACACTTTTCATAGACTCACAAAAGGAAGAGCACATCTGAGTATTAGTAGATCCGAACACTATGTCATCAACATAGATTTGAACAAGAAGTAGATCACTAGATTCATGTTTTATAAACAAAGTCTTATCAACTGATCCTTGGACAAACTTCTGATCGCGAAGAAAAGATGTCAACCGATCATACCAAGCCCGAGGGGCTTGCTTAAGTCCATAAAGAGCTTTGTTTAACTTAAAAACATGATCAGGATACCTATGATCTACAAAACCAGGTGGTTGAGCAACATACACATCATCTTCTATAACTCCATTTAAGAACGCACTCTTGACATCCATTTGAAATAAGGGAAATCCCATGTATGATGCAAAAGCACAAAGGAGCCTAATAGACTCAAGACGTGCAACAGGTGAAAATGTCTCGTCATAGTCAATTCCTTCTTCTTGACAGTAGCCTTGTGCTACTAATCTAGCTTTGTTGCGTATAATTATGCCTAATTCATCCGATTTGTTTCGAAAAATCCATTTAGTTCCAATAATTGTTACATTTAAAGGGCGAGGAACTAAATCCCAGACACGAAGGTGCTCAAACTGAGTTAATTCTTCAATCATAGCAAACAACCATTCTTCAATTTTAAGAGCATCTTTATAAGATTTTGGTTCAACTTGGGAGACATAGGCATACTGACATGGGACATATTTGCCTCTGGTTTTCAGACCATCAGTGATGTCACCAATAACTTGAGTAGTAGGGTGCCTTTTCTGGATGTGTGGTGGGGCAGTAGGAATTGAAGCAGGAGCCTCCTTACCGTTAGTTTCTGCAGGAGCCTCTTTTTCATTACCTTCAAGTCCATCAGTTTGATCAGGAGCTGCATCTTTGGAGATTGTATCTGTGCTATTAGACAATTCAGATATATCAAAGGACAAAGATGCAGAAGATGAATCTGCAGGAGATGTCATCTCATTAAACCTAACATGAACAGATTCCTCAACCTTCTGAGTACGTTTGTTATAAACCCGAAAAGCTTGACCACGAACTGAATATCCTAAAAAGATGGCTAAATCAGATTTAGAATCAAATTTTCCCAACTGATCACGAGTGTTTAGAACATAACAAGGACAACCGAAAGGATGAAAGTAGGAAATGTTAGGTGGCTTGTTTTTGAGAAGCTCATAGGGGGTTTTATTAAGAGTCTTTCTAATAATAACTCGATTTATAACATGGAACGCAGTGCTAACTGCCTCTGCCCAGAAATATTTAGGCAAATTGTATTCCAAGAGCAGAGTACGAGCACACTCGATAATGGTACGATTTTTTCGCTCAACAACTCCATTCTGTTGAGGAGTGCGAGGTGCAGAAAAGATTTGTGAGATCCCAGTATCATTGCAGAAGGTTTCAAACTCATCCACAATGAACTCCCCCCCCCCCCCCCATTGTCACTTTTCACTGACTTGAGTTGATCAGCATGCAACAAAGCAAAAGTTTTAAATTTAGCAAATGTTTCAGCCTTATTAGCTAGAAAATAAACCCATGTAAATCTGGAGTAATCATCGACCAGAACAAACACATAATGTTTTCCTCCAAGACTAGTGACATTACATGGTCCAAAAAGATCCATGTGGATCAGTTCGAATACAGCTGAAGAGGTTATGTCAGTCTTGGATTTGAATGATTTTAGGGTCTGTTTTCCAGAAATACATGTTTCACAAAAAAAATTGCTTTGTCTCTGAGTAAGGGAATTCCTCTGGCAAGATTTAGTTTGGACAACATAGTCAGTTTAGACAAACTGATATGGCCAAGTTTTCGATGCCACAGGAGTTCTTGTTGAAAAGAGACAGCAAAACAGTATTCATTAAAGGCATCAAGATCTTGAAGATTAATGATATACATGTTATTATGCCTAGACCCAACAAACAGAATCAATCCATCACTTATTCGTTCAACTATGCAACGAGAAGACTCAAAACTGACTTTGTTTCCACTACTACATAACTGACTTATTGAAAGAAGATTATGTTTGAGTCCTTCTACTAGAAGAACATTATTTATCACAGGTAGGGGATGTTTTCCTATGGTTCCTGTTCCAACAATAGTGCCGAAACTGTCATCACCAAAAACAACCCTTCCTCCACGTTTGATCTGAAGAGTAGAGAAGAGTTCTTTCTTACCAGACATATGGTGGGAACATCCGCTGTCAAGATACCACAACTGATTTGATTTAATACTACCTGATTCATCATCCTGCGAAGAAATTTCAGTTTGCAAGTCCAGATCACTGCTGAAGGCCATAAATGCCAAATTATCTTCTTGTTCCTCGTCTGGCTCTGATTCATAGTCGCTCCAAGTAGCTTTCATTGCTCGCTCTTTTGCCTTCAAGGTCTGTGGACAGTGAGCTCTGATATGGCCGAACTTACCACATTTATAGCATGCTTGAGCTTCTCGCTCTGATTGACCTGTTTCTAAAACTCTGGTCTGCTGATTAGGCAGCCTTTCTTGAGAAACAGCTTTGTAACGATCAGTAGAAACAAATCTAGAATCATCCTGACGCCGTTTTTGATCATTTTTGTATTTAAGCATGCGATGAAATCTCTTGCTAACAAGGGCAAATTCCCTATCAAAATCACTCACAAAGTCATCTTCAGACTCATAATCAATAATGTTAGACTTAAATGCCAGAGTTTTCTTCCGTTTTTCATCATCATGTGAAACTTGTTTAATAACATTCTCATGACTGAGAAGAGACCCTATTAACTCATTTATAGGCGAAGGATTTTACGATTAAGATCCTTAGGCTGAAAAGTACGACCTAAGCCTTTAAGTTTATTGATGAGAGTAGTGAATCTAGAATACATTTCATGGATTGACTCATTATTAAGCATAGAAAACGCCTCATACTCATGAACTAATAAATCAATGCGAGATTCACGAATATTAGACGTACCTTCGTATGTACTCTGCAGAGCAATCCGAATTTCTTGAGCGGAGTCACAGTTTTCAACCTGGTCAGCTTCTTCAGAGGTCATCGCCGATTGGAGGACATGCATGGCGCGCTGGTTTAGCTGCGCACTCTTCTTCTGTGCAGCAGACCACAGATGTTGCTCAGCCAGATCCATATCAATCGGACCGTTTTGCACAATGAGCCAGAGCTCCTCATCGATTCCCCACATAAATTGCTTTATTCTCTTCTTCCAAGCCGTATAATTTGTTCCATTGAAAATCGGCGGATGATTAAGAGCCGCCTGCCCAAACGAACTGGTCGCCATTGGATCGCAACCTTGGCAGGAGTGAGCTTCTTCAAAACCAGGCTCTGATACCACTTATTAGTCAGATCAGGAGGGCAGAATCGAATTAGGGTTTGAGAGAATTAGGGGAAAATGGAAATGAAGGAGAACCAGGAGACACGAAGAGATCGATTCTCTTTCAGTGACTTTTCTCTTATATTTCCAGATTGGGCCTAAAATGTCTCACAAGCCCACTAACGGATAACTAAAATGAAATGAACAAACAAACTAAAGCCTGCTAACTTCAGCCCATAACTTGGACAGAAAGGCAATCATCTTCTTCCTCGGAACGAAGAGAGCCTCGAGCAGTGGCAGAGTTCAAAAACAGAGGAAAGGCAGAAACAGAGTATCACAGCCAGAGGAGAGGACACAAACAAATTTTAACGAGGTTCCCCAATCTACCGGGTACGTCCTCGTCCTAGACTCAGTACTTCACTGAGTTCTAGGAAACTCTGATTTTTATTGATTTAACCTATCAAGCAAGAAGATAAAAAGATACCAGACTCAAGAACAACAAAACGAAAACAATGTAAAGTCACCCGGATCCCAATCCCAGACCCGTTACACCGTTAATCAACCAGATCCTGTGCCTCTGTTGATTAACCCACTATGCAATCAGCCCTATACCACTTCTTGCAAAAAGTTGCGTTCACTGTTCTTCATGAAAGGTATAAATACCATTTGCTGGTCGACCGTTGCACTTGAATTTCTTCAAGGAAGGTAATTTTTGCAGTTTAGGAAACTATTGCAGCTGGCTTGATTTCCTTCGAGTGATTTCCGACTTTCCATTCTCCAACATTTTATTGAATGAACGTTAAAGAACTTAAATAGATAGATGGTAGCCCACAAACTTGGACTACTAACAAATTACATGAGTTCAATGCTGTTAACCAACTAACCCACCAGATACAGGAGGTAAATGTAAACAAACAGAACTACTGGATTGACACAGGAATACTGCATATGACGCAGTATTGTTTATTGACAGACAGACAGACTTAGCAACGAAACTAACTCCAGGCTTCATTTGAATTTAAGGGTTTTGGCGCCACTCCAATCCTTCCCGCAGCGGATAAGGATTTTTTCAGCTCTTTCCAGCTTCTCCTAACCTCCGATACGGTTTAATTCCATGCTTGTCGTCTATTTTTATTAATAATTATTATGAAGAAACTCCTCGGCTGCATTCTCTCTGGAAAAAAGATAATTGAAAGGGCAACTCAACGAGGGAGCAGCTTAAGGACAACTAGACAGCAAAAGCTGAACGGAAGATGTCCATCTGATCCGGTGGCAAAGCCAGTCCGACCTCGATCCCACGGCTCCCATTTCTACAATCCGCCAGCGAGATGCCACCCGTCCGATCTATCGACGTCACCTCCACGCACTTGGGCTTCCCCCACCCGAAATCGGCGTCGTACACGTGGAACCTAGGGGACCCAGCGATCCCGATAAACACGCCTCGGCTGGCCTCCCTATCCTTGGCGAAGGTTGACACGTGGCGGTCTCCCCCAACAACCTGATCCTTCCCCTCCACGTGATCAATCATCTTGCTTATCCTCTCCGCAGCGAATCCAATCCCTCCCTCCGCCAGCAGAGGTCTCACCTGTATCAACTCGGGTCCGCTTAAGACGCAATTCCCTAGGTAGTTCGCCGGCAACGGCGGTTTCAGTCGGCGTCGGACGTCCGCCATGAAAGCGTAATGAACCACCGCTTCCCTATTGATCTCTGATTCGTCCTCGTCTCCGAGGCGTTTGGCTTTCACCAAGCAGACCAAGGAATGGGCGAACGTGACGACAAAGCTTGACAGGCGAAGCTCATAATCAGTTCCGGACGGCGCCGTTTTAATCTTTTCCCTCAGCGCCTGGATTCGGTCTTGGGAGAGCATAAATGTTACCCGTACCAAGCCGGGCGCGGGAGCAGACGGCGGGGTCAGCTTCAAGCTTCTCGGGCCGGGCCAGGAGTTGTGGTAATGCAGGCCCATGCCTTTGGGCTCTGGTACGACGGACCGGTCCAGAAACGGTACGAGATCTTCTGGACAAGAGGTGACGCTGGATTTGGATAAGTGGGCCCAGGCCTTGAGGAAGAGAGTGGTGGATTTCCCATCGAGGACGGCGTGGTGGCTGGTTATTCCCACGCAAAATCCCTGGCCCGGGAAAAGCGTGAGCTGGAGCGCGATAACCGAGGCCTCCGAGTCGGAGGACGGCAGGACGGGGATGTAAGGGTGCGATTCGGCGGCGTCGCGGATCTGTCCGATGTCGGAGGCGAGGTGGTTGAAATCGGCGGTGGATTGGGCGACGGTGAGCGGGACGGCGGCGGAAGGGGAGTAGAGGAGAAAGGGGTTTGGCGAATTGTAAGGCCAGGTGAGGGAGGCGGCGATGGGGAGGAAGCGGGACAGAGCGGCGGCGAGGGAGCGCGTTAGGGTTGGGACGATGGAGGAGGTGAAGAAGGCGGCGGTGGAATTTTCGGGCGGGAGGGGATAGAAGAGGAGGCGCTCGACGGGCGGGAAGATGGACCAGGTGAAGTCGAAGCAGGTGAGCGGGAAAGTGACATCGTCGGAGGGCGGTGGCACGTCGATGAAGGACGGGGAGATGTGGTGGAGATGTAGTAGGGTGATTGGGTTTGGGGATTCAGCTTTTCCCATTATCAAGTAGAGGGAGAGGAAGTTGGATTGAGCTTAACACTCAAAACTATTTGACACTATTTTATACCCTGAAGTTAGGTTGTTAAACCGGTTTAAGTTATTGAGCCGGCCAAGAAAGAGATTTAACGGTCTCATCGGGGTTCGGGTGATTTGAGACATTTTAGACGTTTTCTAAATATATATACAAATAAAATAAGATACTAATTAAAGATTTAATTATTGAAATGAAAATTATCTTACATGCATTTATTAAAAAATTATTTTCCACAAAATAAATCTAACTAACCACCATCTCCCTTTCATCGTTCATCTTCCTCTCTTCTTCTCCCTCTTTATGAGTCAAATCGGGAGACTTTTTGGAGGTCGTTTTGAAACCCGGCTTAGGTTGGACCGGGTCCAACCGGAGGTAAATAGAGGTTTAACAACCTTGCCCTCAAGGAACCCACTTGCATTGAGAAAATATCATGATTTTTTTTCCTCATCATCGCCTCGTCGGGAACTCGGACTTCAGTTTTAACTGTTTGAGTATCAGTAAATTTGAATCCTTGTTGAATGGTGATGGGTTTAATGTGAATCATATGTCCACCACTAGTATATAGGAATTCAGTGTAGACCCATACCGTTTTTGTGGTGTTTCTCTCACAGAAGGGACACAAAGACTACTTCAGATAAATTATTATTTCTAATATTTAAGATGAAATCATTATAATAAGCTTAATTTCATAAATCCAATCCAAAAAGGTTGATGACATTCTAGCATAACTAACTCGCTCCATGTATCCTCACAAAAAAGGGTGAAATCATAGACTCAACCTTCTTTGCCATTCCAACGATGCTCGTCATTCCATTCTCAACTTGTTTATGCAGTTTCATTTTAAAATCAAGAAATAAGGTATTGATGTTTCTAAAATCAATTATCAATATGTTTTTCTAAAAGGTTATGGGCAAGGCTAACAAGTTACAAATCTAAATTACTTGGTAGTTTGAGTCGTTTATATTGTTAAAATTATGCAATTGTAAGTGCTTCAATGTGGTTAATTCTCAACTAGTATATATTATGAGTCGTTTATATAGTTACAAATTAACTTTCTTCGCTTTCAACTAGTTTTATTTATTCCGAATATGAAAAAAATGAGAAGTTCAAAGGCTTGAACGGAATGAATAAGTTGGCCATACGGATGGTGGAAAGTGATAAGCATAATTATTATACATTAGTTTTATTTGCTTATTAAACTTACGCTTATTTGGTTTATTCCAACTAAAATCACTGAAAAGTCATTGTAACTTAGGAGTTACATAAAAAAAACAAGCTTCCAATTCGAATAAGTGAAGAGTAGCATAATAATTTCTTGGTAGGATATAGAGAAAAGAATGTGCTCAATAATCTAGACCTCCAATGTGCTTACAATGTTTTCAAAATGTAAAAGCATGTTGCGAGTCATTCTAGAAACAAACAAGTGTGTCGTATTAGTAAAACATTGAAATTATATGTTTCATTCGTGCATTTTTTTTAAATTTAACTTTATATTATTGATTTGTTTAAAGGACCTCATTCGACTCAAAGTCTGGCTACGCTACTAACTCAAATTATTTTGTAAACACCCACTCTGTAACTTTTCTGATAAATGTGAATATTTAGTAGAAAGCAATGAAGAAGTTTGTACTTTGTACATCAAAGGGAACAGGGGGAAAAGGAAAGGGCACTCGTATAGTATAACCAGCCAGCTAGAAGAAGAAGAAAAGACGGAGCACAACAGACAAAACAAGGACAATGAAAACACCCAAAAATCACATGGGGCGGCCTAAATCAAATATTGATGAGACACAAGCCCACGACACAAGTTTTCTGTAGTACCATTCTTTGCTAAAGAGAAAATTTAAGATACTAACATATAATTTCTATTTTATACCATATAAAAAGTTTATATTTTATGTGTTTTAATATATGTTTGTATTGTTGTAGTCCTAGGAAATTTAAGATACCCTCTCGCTCCCGCTCAACGAACTAGTTATCTAATTTCTACTTACTATCTCATCATTTTATGCACTCCAACTCATTTAAATTTTATTACAACTATATCAATGCAATTCACTTACAATTGAATTTATTTGATTTATCTTATTTTTAATAAACTAAAAATAGTATATTTACATTATTTTAATGCATATATTTTTTTGAATCGGTTAATTTTATATCATAAAAAACAAGTACATTTAGCAACACACCTGACCAATGAGTAACCTATAAGAGTTTTTACATTTCTAAAACTCTATGCAAACTATATACTCTGTGTACCAATTACGTCCAGTATAATCCTAACCAATCAGGAGCAAATCATCAACAAGGCCAAAAAGAATCAGTGACATTCCCCCAAAAAACATCGTAACTTCATGTGGGTGAGTAATCCGTGGATTGATATTGATCCACCCGCAAATAACTCGATCCGCAAGTTGTGGATGATTGATGTGGGTGGATTGCAGATTGATAAATCTCCCACCCGCACTTATGTGGGTGGGTAGTGGGTGGATTGCGGGTCACCCGAATGACTCGCTTCCTATTTTCACATGAAAAAGGTTGTTTCTTATAGTATCGAATATTCATCATATTTCTAAACCACACTACGGTCTGACCATATACTTCTTAATATGGAGAATAAAAATACTTTTGACTACTATTATTGGTTATTATGCTGTGTAATATCCATTTATTGGATATTGGAATGCAAATTATTGTTAATATCCATTATATATTGGGATGAAAAATATAAATTATTAATTGTATAAAATCACAACATACGTAAGTTGTCTCTATATAATTGGTGGATAGAGTAGTAAAATGTTTTATGCAAATACTACATCGATTCACTAGAGAGAGTGATAAGTGTCTAAATTGATACAATCTTACTACTTTGCTATGAACTTATTATAAATGTTAGTCAACTTTCTAAATAGCTAGTTGGAGAATTATTTTTGCGGATTAACCCACGACCCAACCGCCCCCATCCAACCCGACCCGCATAAGAATGTGGGTGGATTGCGGGTCACAATTATTTCAACCCGCTAGTAAGCGGGTGGGTCAATTTGAGACGAAAACTCATCCAATCCGCCCATTGCCCACCCCTAGCTATAACCCCATGCATAACCCAATAAGAATTCGCCACATCAGCGCCTCCTTATCTCTCCTCGAAAAACCTTTAATTTTCCTTCCTTTAATCTCTAACGGACGATTTATCAATCGTTTTAACTCGATTTTTTTTTGCACAGTTAGATCATATTAATTGTGATCTTCATAATGATATCCACTTTGATATTTTTTTTAACAAAAACAATTTGTCTGTTATTACCAGTTTATACCATATGGTATTGACTGTACCATATGGTATTGAGCATTGACTGATATTAAATAACAGCATACCATATGGTATGAACAATACCACCCCATACCGGGGTGGTATAGTATGATATGAAGTTGGTAACGAGAGTTATGAAATTTTTCACCGAGAAAAATTTGAAATCCAATAGATCATTATTAAATCGTTCCTTCTGTGAAAAATTTCTCGAAAACGACTAAAAAATGAAGGAGATACCATATGGTATGGATTTGGTAACGAGAGGTATGAATATTTTTTTTCTCAAAAAATATTGAAAATGGATATCATTTTGTAGAGCACAACAAACTCGTTCCATCTGTGCAAAAGAAATTGAAATCCGAGTTAGAATGAAGAAGATATGATCCAATCAAGAAAACTAGGGAAAATAAATTTCTTTAATTCTCCACCTTTAGATCTGCAGCCACTTAAAAAAAGGGTCCATATTTGGTTACTCATAATTATGCACCCTATTTTGAATTTTTTTTTTTACAAAATATCTTGAGCCGTTCCTTGGCCGAAAGTCTTCCTGAAATTTTTAATACTAAAGCTTTTGATAACCTTGCCATTCCAAAAGACTTCACCATTCTGCAGACATATTTTCTGCTGTATTTTCACCCTACTCTTAAGCAACTTCTGCCATATCCAAGAATCAGTTTTTGATGTGAAAGTCCAGAAGTTACGATTCTTAAGCTTACACTCCCATAGCTAAAGAGCCCTGTTGCCATATAATTAACTAGATATGCATATTTCAATGAACTTAGATAATCAAATTTTCTATTTTAATTATTATCTATAAAATCACATAAATAATGTGTGAGTTTTTATTATCAAAAGAAGAAAGTATTTTGACTTCAACGATTGACTACGAGAAATTAATGAATTAGTTAATATACCGAAAAGCATAAACAGTGTTGAAATCGGCACAAATAAAATTACTATATATGTTCCCATAAAAAAAATACTATATATGGGACTGATTATTTTTTATACAAAATATCCACATAAATTAGCAAAGAAAATAAAAAAAAGTCAAAAGGGACATGGAATTGCAAAGTGGATTCCGTTACTAGAAAGCTTGCATATTTTCCATTGGTTACCACAGCATACATCCATGCAATAGTATTTGCAATTGTCGCGTAGATGGACACATGGATTTGCAATTGAAATGAAAGTGGCGATGTAGATGTTCTTAATCTTTTGGGCGTATTAGCAAGTCACAATGAAGAATAAGAGTATCTACGGCAATGCAATTGCAAACCCAAATGCATTTGTTGTTTTTATAGCTAACTCAATAGTTTTGCAATCCATCTCATTTTATTTTCATTATATCTAGATCAATGCAATTCATTTGCAATAACATATGTGATTTAATTTCACATATAAAGCATAAACAAAAAGGAAAAGGGAAAAAATCCATCATTCTCACCTTAGCATCTCCTTCATAATTTATTTCCGTAAAGTCGTGGCCCAGACACCATAAAATTGCCTCTCAGAGAAAGAGCAACTCGACCACCGTAGGGTCATCAATCAACAGATATTGAACCCCTACCACCAATAGGATTTCCCTAGCTGGGCTTAGAATAATCATCCACCTGTCGAATGAGATCCATGACTTGTTGCCCTGTCCCACATACAAATAGCCAAATTAGACCCATCCGGTCCAAAGCTGTGTTCCGAAGGGATGGCAGACTGAATCACAGTATCCACCGACAAACTTACCAGCTACAAAAAAGGCTTTCATTAGTGACCAGAGAATTCCGTCAATAAAGACCAAA